AGACTCTTGTTAGACACCTACAAACTATTTTAGAAAGTTTAAAAGTATACTATGCTTTTAAAGCATATGCTGTGTTTTTTTGATCTATATTAAATTCCAAGACAATTCGTATGGTACTATGGTACTCTATAATTAGATTTGATTGCCTATGAACTTAATAAGTCTCCCGTAATGCTGCTATGATAACTATGTTCTTAGATTATCTAACTCATGGATGTTTACAAAGTCGGAGCATCATACTAAGGTTAGAAAAGAATGGAAAATCTCTCAGGAAAGGAGAGCAAAACTCTCAATCGCTCTCATCCAGTTGGCTTGAATTGTTTGGAGAAAAGGGAACTGCTTACTTTCATAGTACGACTAGACTAGACTAGATATATCCTAGACTAGATAACTGAAACTGGTTGAAGAGTTCCAGTTGCACAACAAAAAGTGGCTGCTTTGTTCAGCTGTCACTTTTGCTTGAAATAATGTGGTCTCTTCCATCATGGAAGAGTACAGAAGGCCATATAATGAACATGGGCCATGTGCAAAATATAGGCACTGAGCTTTCTGGTTTTCTAGAATAGTTTAGCCGAAAATTACCAAATTTACAAAAAGTGAGACACCACTCTTTAATTAGATGAGTCCTAAAGACTGCCTTCTAAATGAGTCCATCCACATGGTCAGCTGGCAAAACTGCATGATGCAGTTTTTTCTTTAAACTTCAACTTTTTCAGGAGAAAGTTTTGATTAAGAGGAAAACCAAAAAATAAATGCAAGAAAACAAAGGTGAATTAAAAATTAAACTGTTTTAAAACAGTTTAAAACATTTAAAAAATGTTAAACACTTGGGTGACATTATCAACTATACAGCTTTTGTGGATATGGAATGCTGATATTCATATGGCAAGGCAAAACACACTTTGTCCTGTGAGTGAAACAAAAAAAATTACTGCAAACTGTCCTTTTGTGTCCCCCAGCAAAGATTTTAATTAGGACAGCTCCTTCAACCTGTCTTAGACAGGCAGAACCACTCAGGCTCTTTCTATGTCTTCGAGGACTGCCTTTGCATATAATCATCCAACATCTTCCTTATCTGAATTCCAAACAAAAATCTAAACAACAGAGCATATGTCTTGTAAAGATGTACATACGTAGGTGCAGTTACAGAATAGCCTATAACAGGATCTCTTAAGAGTCTACTTGCTGGATTCTGTAGAAAGTGTGTCAATGTCACAGTGAGTTATTCAACAATTTTGAAAAATCAGACCTTGTTGAAAATCGGTCATAGTAGCCCAAACCACTAGTATGACTGAAAGCTGCAGCTTTTGTACTAGCTTTGTGAACATCAGAGATGCTGCATGCGCATATTTTGCCAGCACAGGAAAAGGAGGGTGGATGACACTGAAGCCTGAAGTGAGCAGGATTAAAAGTAGCAACTGTTGTCATTAAATATAACTTTCTTTGGCAGAGGTGTTTTTTGCTTATGTAGCAGGTATGCTTTTATGTATATTAATTTATGGACGGGCAAGATACTTCATGAAGTAACAAGCTTGGGCCGTCCTAAGGAGAAATTGGAGTATGGCTGTTGGCTTCTGAGTGAAACGAATATAAACTGCAAATTGAACTTTATTAAGGCCTGTTGTAATTAGTCACCTTGGAAAACTAGCAAACTCTTAGCAAAAAAATATAGAGAGAGACTTCCTGGATGAAAAGTGCTTTCTACTGGGAATTCCAGTTCTTTTCTCTGCCACGGGAATGTCATCAGGGTAGCATCTGCAACACTTCCCACGGCCTGGCCACAGGCATTCAAAAAAGTCATTCCAGGTGGAATGGGGAGCAGGGAAAGACTGCTCGGACAAGCTAGGGAAAATGGAAATTCATCTAGGATGGTTTAGAGGAATGCAGCTTTACCGAGACACGGGTCTAGGAAAGTATATGAAAGCCCTCTGTAAGTACAACTCAGGGGTAAAACAGGAAGGACAAAGAACCGCCATTTGAATGACAAATAGTGCTGGCACAGTAAAAGAGTATGCAAACCTGTCTTCAACAAAACCAGACTGGAAATGACAAAAATATTTCTAATCCTTGGTGAGGCCCTGGGCCAGTCTTACAACTGAGGCAGGGGACTTCACTTTTTCTGTGACAGAACTGGGCAAGCCTGTGAATTGCAGGCTTTGCTTCTGATAACAGGGGACTGGACTCCTTGATTTTGCAAGTTCCTCCCATTCCCATTTAGATGAGTATGGGCTAGTCCAGTAACTGTTACTATTCTATTATTGTTTTCTTTTCTGTGGAGATATGTTAATACTGTGAATATCTGCTGGCTATTTGGAATTACCCCTTCGGAACGAGCAAGTTTTGCCTCTGTTTCTGCATTAGTTTTTCAGGAGTTTGCCCTGTGGTCTTCTGAAAACGCTTCTCTTGGCTGGAACAGACGTATCATTAAATCTTTGCAGTCTTGATTATATCAAAAAAGTAGGCTGTTAGACATGGGTAAAATAATTTCACTGTGCTTTTGGGTTGGCTTGTATGTTCTGCTGAGCAGCAAGGACCTCCATTTTTCCTCGTGATTGCGGTAGAGGAGTTAAATAATGAATGCATAAGCCTGTTTCATGTCCCACTGGCCAGAAATCTAGTCATATAAAACATAATGAAATTTACATTTTAAAGTGAAAATACACTCAAAATTTAAAAAGTTCTTGATATAGTGCTTAATAGCATCAGACAAGATTGAAAAGAATTGTATGAACAGAATATTTGTAAACTGATTATATCTTTTGTTGTCAATTTATTTTGAGCGATAAAATATCAATGTCAAGAAAAAATGACACTGAAGAGGAAACAATGATAGGAAGGGGTTTGAAAGTCAGCAACTGGTTCTAAGTGGGAATTAGATACTAAGTCTCAGAATGGCTAGATAATTTTTAGCTCTCTATATATATCTTTTGAGTGGGAAGCTGGGATATAGAAACTGAATGATACTTTAATTTTTAAACTGGTTTAAACCAGCTAGATTTGCGGAAACTAAGTTGGAAGCAAAAGCGTTTTTTTTTTTTCTTTTGAAGTATCACTGTTTGGGGACTTTCCCCTGGGTACTGTTCAAAATTGTTCTATTGTGACGCATTTGTTGTTTGCTGATCTCTGGTAGATACCAGAGATGCTACTTTGGCTCACCCTTGCATTCTTGGATTAGAGTACTGAGACTTCTATATTCTGTCTTGTTAAATTTATGCTTATTATTTGGGTGGCTATATGAATGGTGCTATTGCTCATCCACATTGATATGCAATTAAAAGCCCTTTCCTAGGGCCCAGATTCCCCAAGTAATGGACTACCCTTTCCCGGGGTTCCCAGATTCTCCAAGATCAGAGAGAATGAAACAATGTGCTGTGAATCAATTCTGCCACAGCATTTTTACATTTAGAACATGGAAAACGAGTGTCTGTGTTAAGATTTCAGCAAGGAACCACCTACCATCTACAAGTACCTGCAAGGTCCATACATTAGTTACACCTGTGCATTGAGGTACACCTGAAGCAAACTTACCCTGCCTCCTGGATAAAAATATTCTTAATCTTTGTCTCTGAATATGTTTAACAAAATTTAAATTTCGAGTTTAGCTAAAACAAAGGTTTACAAGATCATAAACAGGAAAAGTCTGAAAATTTGTGCTTTTCTTTTCCTAACGGTGTCATTGAAGGAATATTATACTACAGAGAAGAGTCAAAGTAGGACAACAAGAAACAAAAAATAATCTGCTTACATTGTGAAAGGCAATTGGATGTTCTTTAACTGGACAGTAAAAGAACTATTTTAAGTGCTTCCTTTTGCTTCAAACAGGTGGCCTAGGCATGCTGTTTGGAGTTCATTTACAGTCAATTGATTCATAGCTAATAACTTAAAAATACTACACTTCCTGAAAGTGTTATAGCCAAAATATGACAGTTAAGCCTGAAGCGGGAATTAAGTTCTATTCTTTTCAAGCAACAAAAAGCACTGACAACCAAACTGTATTTTCAAGATCTTGGTTGAAATTCATGTGAGGAGTCCTAGGACAGAGTGGTTTTATATGCAGTATTTATTACCCCCAGTGTGCAGGGAAAAAAAAATTAAGCTCTTGCTGCAAAAATGTTGGTATTTAGATTAGGAGACACAGTGCCTTCAGTGTATCTTTTTTATCTGATTTTTTTTTTTAATTGCTGTCACCCTCCTACTCTCAATCTCACCTGCACTTCTCATGGAAATTTAAAACACTTTGCGAATATAACTGATTTAACTCTCACACCATTTCTGCTAACTAAGTATATCCCCTTCTTCTACAGGAAATAGAGATGCAGAGAAACTGGGTATGATCGTGAGAACATTGCTTACAGCTTGAGGCATTGCTGGGATAGAACCCACCATGAAATCTTGGCTGCACTGGAGTCAGCAGTGTAACTCCTGTTGACTTCAGCAGAATCAGCCCCCAGAATCACAGTCCTGTCCCATTTAGTAATAAACTGGAATAAACATTGCATCCATGAGAAAGAGAGTGGTTAGTCAACAGCTTTCCATGTCTTTTCTTCTCATCTTGCAGAACTGGAGAATAAAACCTTGTTTGCACTCAAATTACCCTTCTGCTCAGTGCTGCAGTTTCTGCAGTAAAAACATGCTCATGTGTTTTATGGGTCTGACCAGTGCATCAACTTTAGCATTCTTATATGACTGTAGCTGAAAATGAGGGAGGTAAGGGAGAAATATTTCTTTGAACAATCGCTAGGGATAATTTGCAATGTTGACAAGGAAAGTTCTGAAAATCATTAGAAGGTTTGAAGGTTTATGCATATTCTTCTGCAGGGAAGTGATTTTTTCCCTCCCATAAAAGGCCACAACTAGGAATATTTGGCCACATCCTGCAGGTAGGAGGAAAAAAATTCTTTAAGCATTCTTACAGGAATTAATGTTATATCTCTCAAAATAAGTGTTTTTCCCTAATATTTAGTTCGAAAGCAGAACATATTTTTCTTCTTTTCTTAAAGCCGCTGCCTCCTTGTCATGACTCTAAGGAATCTATGCAGGTGTACAAACAGCACTGCAAAATAGCCGAAGAGTACCATGAGGTCAAGAAAGAAATTGCTCTGCTGGAAGAAAGAAAGTAAGTAACTTTTCCAAAGTATTTACTGTTTTATATTCTCTTTGTAAAATCCTATTTTAAGCATGAGGGTTTCACATGGTATTTTCTGACCTTATACCTCTGCTTGATGGTCACACTACAGCACAACAGTTAGGCCATCGGTCCACAGGAACAACTGGGGCCACTAAGGCCATAGAGTTGTCATAGTTCTGGGCCCTCGTTTTACAGATGTCTCTTAAAACCTTATTGACAGCCTCCAGGTCACGTAACAATCTAGTTCAGCTGGTGAAAGTCCCCTTTTTAGTTTTAAGGAAATTTTTTTTCAACTTAACTTTACATGTTTTAACAAAGAACATAATGGATTCTCAGTTAGGTTTAAAGTACTTGACATTTTTCTGTGTGGTGTGTTGTCTCTACGTACATTGACATTTTAGGTGTTCACATCCAAAGTGCATAAGCTGGAGACTTTTTTTCCTTGTCTATGGCCTATACTCACACCCCCATCATCTTTGCATGACTATTAAATGGCAAAGTGCACTCTGTGACTCTCAATCCTTTTCCACAAGAAACCTGAAAAAAAAATTCAGAGAGAGGAAACAGGGTGAGTAGTGGAAGTTTTTAACAGGCAACCAACTCCCAGGAATAACAGTTACTGCTAAGTAAACTTTCAATTTTTTTTTTTATTTTTACATTCACGCTGAAAGTGACTTCAGGCAGTGTTGCCTTCCTCAGGGAGAGTTAGCTCAGTGTTGATCTCTGAGACTTCTTGTGAAAATGAAGACCACACCATCATTCTTCTAAATGCTGCTTGAACAGAAACATTTGTAATATAGCAACAGGGGTCGAAAGAGCTCTGTTGAACAGTGGGCTTTGAGTAGAAGGTGGAGCACCGTACCTGTTTCACAGCAATCTTCACACAGCTGACCATGCAGTTCAGCCAAGCTTGCATCCGTGCAAGTCTTCAGCTGCAGAAGCAAGCTGATGGGAGGGAAACTGGTGAAATCCTGTAGTCTTACATGTAAGATAGCCAAAGATCTCCTTGAATCTAGACTGTGCGGGGTAAGAAAGTGAGATTTGTCTTTATCGGGGTTGATGGCTACAGGCACAACATGGTCAGTTGCCTAAAGCTGAGGAACTAGTTGAGGTTTCCCACTACAGATCTCCTTCTACTGTAGAACCTGCATGGTACAGAAATTAAAGAAGAAAAAGTAACTGGAAGAGATTAACACTACATTGTCCCAGTGTCTGCATTTGATTCATCACTAATTAAACTTGGCCAATCAAAAGTAACTGGTGTTTTTAAAAAGATATAAAGAAGATAATGAATTCAAATAATTTTGCAATGATTTGTCAAATTTGATTGTCTAATATAAGCTGCCTACATGTGTATTTAGCAACCAAGTGAATTCAGGGGAAACCTTGTGTGTTTGTCTTCTCTGAAAATCCAAATGGAATATAAAACATTAAATGGTTGTTTAAGTGCTTAACTTTAAATTTATAAACTCAAAAGGTAGCCTTAGATCATTTGGGGTTTAGAGTCTACTAACATAAATGCATTCTTATCTCCAATACATCCCTGAATCAGTTATGCAGGTTTTTGAAGTAAGCTTGGAGCCCCTGAAAACTAGACTCACTTATATATTTTGGCATTTACCGGAATGAAAAAAAAACACTGTTTGAATGCATTTTTGTTTATCTATGGAGTCTGTCGCACTAGCTGAGTCAGAAATAATTTGCTCCTTGGGAATGTCACCTACATGCACAAAATTGTTTACCTGAGCTCAAAACTATCCTAATCAAGCTCTGAGCCCAGAAGTCAGCCTCTCAGCAGTGGCTATCCTGGATGAATTAAGGGGCTTCGGGCTGGCATTTTCCTTCATTCCACTAGTGGATGTCAACAGTGAAACAATGTGAGGAAGCTTCCACCACTGCTACCTTTGCTGACCATGTTCTGTGGATAGATTTCATGCCCCAGTAAACATATGTTAAAACAAGAGTGGCTGAATAAGGCAGCAAATAGAATTATATTATTGTGATTCTTATGTGCCTTCTAATGGCATATTTGTGGCCTAGATATTCACATGCTGTGTAGTTATGAAATGACTAAACGTGACAAATATCAGTGCAGCACCTTTCACCACCTTCCAAATCTCTTAATCTGAAGAAGTGGCCCTGCAAGCACTGGGATTGAAGATGCTTAATTTGTTTCCTACAGGTTGGTGCACTGTGGTTATTTGATTTTGAGGTTTAAAAAGCTGCAAGTGCCCACTGAAGCTTTTTTCCTCCATATGGGAACTATTTATGACTCCTCTCTCCAGTTAGATTCTCCATTTTGTAGTATTTTGGAGGAGATCTCATGATCCTGCCTTTCCCCTTTAAGGTGTCTTTCCATTCGGTAGTAGTCTGTTTTCATAAAATCTTCCAGAAACTAATTGGGACCTCTTCACTGCATGAAGTTTGTTTGTAGTTGGAAGGTGGATTAAAAAGTTATTTGGATATATATACCTTTACACACATGTAAGCATACACAACCTGAACACATTAACCTTGGTTTTTACATAAAACTAGATAGAAAGGGAGTATAAGTGTGGAGATGAAGGAGTAAGCAAAAGAGAGTTTTGGTTTAATGATCACTGATTTATATCTAAAAACATTCTCAACAGTTACAGTTTCAAAGTTAAAGGAAGTTTATGGTGTTACACACTGAATGAAGAGGAGCAGAGTGGATTACAATGGCTGGGGTGGCAGGCGTGTTGAATATTTCATTTTCAGAAGGGAAGGATGCTTTGACGTGTCTAGTAAGTCTGATGAAATGCACAGCTTTTAGCCTCAAAAGCAGTTATAATCAAATGGAAAAGACGGAGTCTGCAGCTTTCTGAAATTTGCCCCTATTGCAGGTGTCTTTATTTTCTTCTACATTTGAATTTGAATGTATGGAAATAAAGATTCACAATTACCTAATACACCTGCTATCTATTGTTTATTTCTTTTAAATATTATTTTCATAAAATGGACAAAGATAGAGTTTCATCCCTTGTAACGGGAACAAAAACTTTGTGCAGTGTTCTTCACGCTACATTTTTACCAAAAGCAACCAGAAGCCCTGTTGGATGGTACCCCTGCCAGTGCTCCCAACTTCCTCTCCACAGATCAATTCACCTGTGGCATTAAAATGTCAAGTCCCACCTGGCAGTGTCTGCACCTGTGGTGCCTACTGGTAGTACACTGTGCACACAGAATACTGAAGACAATGATTGTCAGGAAAAGAGCAGAAAATTACTTGAGCAAGTATTTTTGATTTGTTGGCTTGGAGGAAGAAATAACGTTAAGTTAACCTGACATAAATGTCTGTACAGGTATTGGAGCTTTTTAGTAAAACAAAAAACGGAATAGTATTCATTCTACTTTAAACAATTTTTGTTCCCACTTCCCCAGTTCAGTGTAGCATTTTATATACGAAATAATACATGCAGGTATATTTCTAAAGGAGGCATCTTTAAGAAATAGGAAGTTGAGTAACATTATTTTAAAATAGTCAAAACCATTTACTCTTTCGCAGCTTTTCAAAGGCTTTTGATTCTGCTTAGCTTGACTTGTCTCTAACTGTAGTATGAGGATCAAGTATGGCCAAAGTATAGAAAGGCAGGCATATGAAATGACAAGGGTTGCTTTTCATCAAGGAAAGAGCAGAGCTTATTTGCCCCTTTCTTTTGTGTGCATTGTAGATGGCAAGGGAATGTACTAGGCTGGGAATGGGAGAGAAGACGATTGTTTCACAGGAAAATGGGAAACGTGAAAGAGAATGGGAGGTTGCATGTTCAAAAAAGGGAAAATCAAAGGACAAAGCAAATAAGAAGGAGAAGTTAGGAAAAGGACAAACAAAGGAAGTAAGAAATTGCAAGAATTTAAAAGACCATTGGCTAGATTTTTTTGCTAATATAAATAACCATAGCTTTGTTTGCTGTCTTCTCTCAAACTCTTCCCGTGTATGCCAGCAATATGCAGTATAAGGGACAAAATCACTGTGGAATGGGAGACATGATCAAAAAGAAAGAAAAGGGCGTGCAAGCGGGAACACACCACATTTAGGTTACAGAATGTAATTTAATTTATGTTCCAGAAACACACATGTATTTCCATAACAGATGTTTTGGGGTATCTAAGTTTGGGTGAAAGGGATGGGATGGCTGGTTATTTTGAGCAGTTGTTATATTGCTATTACTAGATAATGACCCTGGATTATGTAGTTAAATATTAGAGTTGCCATGGTTGCTAGCTATATCTTATATTCTTAGCACTCGCTGGTTTTCTCTTTTTTCCTCCCCCAGACAATTCTAATATAACTCTCCAGAAAACATCATTTGATCACCACCTGGTTTAGGATCACTCATTTCTTTACCATGCATTTGATTTCATTTCCTTCTTTCATACATATTACAGTAGACATGCAATGGAGATGTCTGTTTAATTTTGTGGGATCCTTCCATATGCTTTAGTATGCTTTTATGACCATAGGACTGTTTCTAAGGTCTCAAGTCCAGATGGTTTCTCCAGGTATGCTATTTCTGGAGTGTCTTTCCCAATAGTGTTGACACAAGTAGTCTTCAGATTTCCAGGTACTGCAGAAAAAGATTGGTGTAAAACATAAAGGCAAATTTTTATCTTAATAATTTTCCCATTCTAGACCTGATTTTTCATCATCTCACATGTATCCAAAATACACGTTACTTGCCACATAGTGGAAATTACAGCTTTTCTAATATAAAGAGAAACCTCATCTTGTCTGGACCTTTTATGTTCTGGCATCTGAGACGTATTTTCATTTACATTAAAACAGGCTGTCTTGTTGTTTTAAAAATTAATTAGTAGACGCAAGGGCAGTCTCCTCAGACAGCAATTACATTACAGAGTGTCATGATTCCTCCTAATGTGAAAGCCATGTCAAATACGGGAAGAGTAAAGGACCTTATGGCCACCAGAATACAAAGATACATGTTAGCTGGGAAGAAATGTGTAGTACCACTGATGCATGATCCTAAATACGCTGTTCACAATGGGAGAAAGACAAGTCTGCCTCTCTGCACTGTGGAAGTTGTTCTCCTTGAGTCCAGTCCATCTCCAAACGCACTTATTTCCAGACAGATTTATCTGCTTCGTCTGTCACTTTTCTTGGTGTTTATTCATCGTGAATATTACTGTAAAGGAATTCTTCTCTGCATGGTCAGTCATTAAGGCCAGGGCAAAAGAAATAATTTCCCTAAGACCATGCTGGGTTTTTCTCCTGCTGCGGTATGGCTTGTGGTTTATTGGCATATGATGCAAGTCAACGCTCGTCTTCCCTTCCCACTCAAACCCCTCCCCAAAGAAGAACACTTAAAGTGTACATTACAGATTGTCTCAAAGCTTCAAGTACCTCAGCACCATTTTAGAAAATACCTTATCAATGCTGTTATGATTTAAACTCAGGGTAACCATTAACAGAGAACACAGATTACACAGGGCTAAATCTATTTATTAAGCACACACAACAAAGGCTAGATGGTGCAAGAGCTTAGTATGGTGTTCTTTAACCTCTGGAAGCTAAGTTCAAATCCTGGATTAGATCAGAAGCAAATGTTAGTTACTGTCCTCATCCTTTTGTGAGCCTCGTAAACCACACCATTCATAACATTTAGCAATTCCCTGGTACTCTAATTTTAGATCTCTGTGGCAGGCTGGCAGTATTTGCCTGAAACATCACCCTACCCTGCAAACAGGTGTTGATCCTGATGGGAAGGGAATAAGTAGGTTCTGCTGACTCAGAAGTGGGCAATTTTACTACCTCAGTGCAAGGAAACAGCTTTCTGCAAGGGAGGCCCTAGAGTGTGGGCTACACCAATGAGTATGTTTTTATTTTAATGCATTTATATTTTGATTAATAGCAAAACTAAATTCCAGGGGGAAAAAAGTTATCTGTGCAGCTTGAGTATTACTGGAGAGTAGCACAAAAGCCATGCCTGCATGTAGCCTCATCTTATCAAATCAGGACTGACATTCATTAATAGAGCTGTCTGAGTTTGCACACTGTCTGTCTGTGCCACTCCTGGCTCAAGTCTAAATCAAGTAGTTAGTACCTTTCTTTTACATGTACTAAAAGTCCCCATGGAAAAGGTTTACCTGCTTTTAAGGTGCTGATTACTGATTAGTGTGTTCACTGCATCTCCCTTTAAGAATCTTGTAAGTGTAGGAAAAGTAAGGAAGAATGATTCTGAATTAATTTGCTTGAAACACTTCTGAGTCAACAGTCTGTGATTTGAAAGAGCTTAATTTAATCCTTCAGTCCAGCACGGCACCAGTAGAATAACTGCAAAGAAATATTCCTAAAGCTGTCTCTTGGCACCAAGAATCAAAAGTCTTCTAGAGGAAGCCCTAAGAGACTGAAGTGATTAAAGCTGCTAGACTTGTAAAATCTTGTCCCTAAATGCATCTCTCACTCTCTAAAGCAGACATGCAATTAGTCCTTTGTGGCCTATAGTCCCATCGATAGGAGCTGGAATATTGATCTGTCTAGCAAGATCTGTTTGAAAATTGGTTGATCTAGTGTGGCCCAAGCAAAGAGAAACGAACCTGTTAAAGGCTTGCTGCTTTAAAAAGTTTTACAACTGTGTTGTGCCAAATGTTAATATAGAATTCTGCTGAACAAAAATATGCTCTTGATAATTTCTTTCAAAGACCTGATTGAATACACCGTTCACCTGGTGAAAGGAAAGAGAAGAGGCTTTGCTGCAGCATGGCTGCTATGCATTACTTCAGTATAAAACAAAGACAACATTTAGCTACAGGAGGGCTTCTACATACTGCAACTTTTGGATGATTTAAAATTGCTGTAATGGCTGCTAACTCTTCCTTTCTTCTTTTTTTTTTTTTTTTTTTTTTTTTTTTTTTTTTTTTTTTGTATGGGAAACACAGTTGGGAGAAATGAGTGCGCCAGGGGTTTCTTCTAACTTTGTGACTCCATGAACTGCCTTAACTGTGACTGTAAACAGTCAGCTAAATCATGGGCAAACTGTGCTATCACTGAAAGCTGTACTAAAGACAGAGGAAGATCAAACCAATCCTAAAAGAAGGCCAGATAGAAGTGTTTTTCAAAACCCAGGTTCTTAACGTTTTGCTGCTGTAAGTGGTAATTTTGCAGCTATAAGTAATGTAAGTGATCAGCAAATACTGAAATGTTATCACTTCATGAATACTCTGACCTGTGGCAATAGAATTACTGATCTGTAGGAATTTCCTGCCTGAAAGCACTGATCTATCTTGACAAGAGAGCTCCTCTAAAGGCTGTAGAAAAAGCTATCCACTTTGAAGGCCTTACATCTTCCCACGTTGTTTTGACATGACTGAGAAATAAAGTCACAGGGCTATGAACAGTTAAAGATTAACTAATCTCTGAGATAGAATGATCAAAAGAACTAAGAAAGTTTTAGAAGAGACTTCCTGTAGCAGGGGTGAATAAATGATTTGACTTAAAGGGGAAAAAGGCTAGCCTACTGAGTGACTAAGTGGAGAGAGATTAGATACCCTGTGAATTACTCATGCCTTCAGTGTGTTTTGTTTTAAGACCTCTTTTATCTTAACTTGTGCTGAGGTAATTCCAGTTGATACTATACAGGAGACTCCAGCTCCTGTCCAACTCTGGGAATACAGAGCACTGTGTGCCTCCATCCATAAAGAAGCAACAGCTTGAATCCTCTTAAAAAGACCAGGAGGGGTCAGCTTTGCAGCTCTATCACTCTTCCTCAGCTGTAGGGCTACGGTCTGAGCATAAACACATTATAGAAATGATATGTGTAGAACAGATTCACGTGTCTAGTATTCACCAGAATCATTTTTCTTTGTGGCAGACAAAAGGAAACCAGGCACACTTCACAGAATTTACTGATAAAGCTAACCAACTGAACAGAAAAACCACCTCGTTCTCTTCCATTTTTTTTTTGCTATTGAGAGAAAAATAAATTTTTATTCTTCAGGCAAAATATTAGCATGTACTCTCCAGGAACTTCATTCTCCCCCATAAACTGTATGTTCGACTCTTACTGAAGTTAGAGATACTTGAAAGTCCTCAGCGTTTTGCAGCTTTGCCCACTGAACAGCAAACCTATCAGACATTTTGGCAGCTTCATCTTTTAAAGGGAAAAGGAGGACTACAAATTAATATTCTAGGTGTTTTCTTCACAAGAGCTCAGGTAATACCATGTTAATGACGCCCAGCTTTAACCAAGTACACAATGACAAATTTTCGCATACTGCCTTTTTTAATCTTTGAATTTTTTTCATAATCATCAGAAAGGAGCTGATTGCCAGGCTGGAACAAGTGGAAAAAGAAAGCATGGATGCTGCTCAGCTGGCTAAGGAGTACGCAGAACTGACAGAGGAGAACCGAACACTGAAGTTGGCCCAGACGCAGTGTGTAGAGCAACTGGAAAAGCTCAGAATACAGTACCAAAAAAGACAGGGCTCCTCATAACTCTCAACTTGCTTATGTGAGGCAGTTAATACAGGATTGGTCCTGTGCTGGAAAGAGATTTTAAAATAAAGGTCTGTTTAATATGTTATAATACTTTACTACAGATAACGGAGTATGTAGAAGTCTATATTTGATTTAATGCTTGCCAGCCAGTAGCTTAATATAATGGATATTTCATCCATTATATAATGGATATTTTATTTCAAGTAACATAATTGAAGTTAATCTATCCCCATTATATGTTCTAGTAGATCAGGTTTCTTTTCTAAACATATTTCTTCCAATTTAAGAAGATATGGACACACTAGAAAATGATATAAATAGTCTCTGTGTTGGGAATTTGGACCATACTAAGGCATACAGCAGGGACAATGTTAATATATGGAATACATGTATGTTAATTTTAGTTTGGTGAAGATTTTTTTAATTATTTTCCTCATGCCTAAAGTGTTTGGAAGTTATCTTAAAACAGATCTCCTCACTAGTAAAAACTATCCTTCGTTATCCCATGTCAACTTTACATTGTTGTATAAAATCTGAGAAATTGCACATTAAAAATTGAAGTAACGGAATTATTTTTTATCAAACAAGTGTACTGCTAGTAATAATTGGCAAGTTATGAAATTAAAAGGAAACAGATTGGATCAAACTTCCTTTCCTCAAATGTAGATAACTTGAGAATCTTTTTATTGTACTTTATGGAATGCAAGCAGTGAAAAATTAATATATGAATACTACCACCATAGATTCAACTGAGAATACGTCAGTAAAAGTACTGTTAGGATATTTTGTTCTTATTTGCCGTTCTGTTTTGAAACATAAGTGGCTGTAAGTAGGGACAAGAGTTCCATGATATACAAATAACCTAGAAGTAAAATGTCAGTTTTACTTGCTCTATTTATCCCTGTATTTTCCTAGATCAACTGAAAATTCTTTGTTATAATTCCATTTCTACTCATACAGTATTTTTTTCATTAAAAGTGGATATAGAAAAGCCATGTTCTGAATGTTCTTAAATCACCCTGTATTTTTAACTCTGCCTGACAGATGCAGCTTGTTACATCTTCATGAGGTTGGAATTCAACTTGATGTGTCATTATTACTGAAATGTGTCTTAGTAATTGAAAACTATGGACTTAAGATTTCTGCCAGAACTTTAGCTTTGATTGTTATCACTAATCTGTTATAAAAATGAATTTTTACGTTAATCAGAACAATCCCTGGGGAAGACTTTTGGCACCAAAATGTTCCCCAGTAATTCCAGCAGCAAAGGGGACAAAAAAATACAAGCTACCCTCTATTTCTCTGTGCTAACTACCTACAGTATTCCCTGCAGCACAGGCGTGAAAACAGGCTACGAACATGTTACTACAAGCACCTGACATCGCAGTAGGAGAGTACGAGGAGGTCGCAGGAGAGGACAGCCTTGTCTCCACTTCTCCTCCTGAGCTGCCAGGCAGGGGCAGCGTACATGCCCAGCACTGCTTACCACCTTCCCGTGCCAGCGCGGAGACACAAAGGGAAATCAGCACTCTGAGGTGTGTGCTTTCTGCTGGGATGCTCTGCAGGCAGTGTAACACTGTATTTATTCCTCTTTCATTGTTACCTGAGGGTCTGATTTTCACTATATCTTGTGAAAGCTGAAGAGAAAAAAAAAACAAAATGAATAAAAACCACTTGGGATGTCCAGCCTGGGAATGTTGCAAAAGCCTTGTCTGAGTTTTGCACTGATGGGAAACATGCCCTGTACAGCCTTCAGGGTTTTTGCTTTGAGCACAGTATGCTGCATAACCTGTGATATATTATTTTTGTCTGTATTGTGTGTTTTGAACAACCAGATTGTCATTTTCAAAATTAATTTGTTGATTTAGTCACGTATTTTTCTATCTAGCTTTGAAAATGTCAGTCTGTTTGGTGATTTCAGTGAATTCATTGGAAACTACACAAAGTACATCAAATTATTAAATTAGCAGGCTGGTTTTGGATGCAGATGGATCAGACAGCAGAACTTTACTGACGGATGACTTTATTCACCTTGAAATTTTCCATTTAAGTGCAGCCATTATGTTTTAGATGTCAGAATAATATCAGATCATACTCTGAGAAAAACCTGAAGGAGACCCAAGGTCATGTAGAGAAGGAAAGCTGGGCATCATTTGTGACACACAGTGATTTGAGAGTAGCCAAGGAATACAGCGTTTCTAACCTATAGAGACTGACCGGTATGGAAGTCTTCAGGAAACATTTTTACAGGTGTACAGACACCAAATCTGTGGTGTGGTCCAGTTACCAACCTGGCTATATATGGAACTCTTAGAACATCCCAAACTAATTGAAGTCAGAGATCTGTATTTAATCTGGACTGTGGCTACTTGCAATCAAATTTTCCTTATGGTGAAAGTAAAAAAGAACTGGTTTGTATTAATGTATTTGCTTGCCAGCATGGATGCTCATATGCCCAAGAATAGTGACTCAGAGAAATTGCATCACAATGAGTGAAAACTGAAAAAGAAATACCAAGGAAGAAAAATCAAAGTATCTCAGGAAAACAAATTTTTGAAGAAAAAATAACAGTGAATGGGATGCAAAGGCAGGAGGGTAGATAAATGGAATTTCCCCAAAATATTCATAAGCAAGTGAAATTAAAATGCAGAACGGTCAACATAACCCAGAAAATCATTCAAGTGTTGCAAAGAGTAAAAATGGCTAGAACAGCCTTCTGAGAGGTAACTGCTGTATCTATCATCCATCTCTTGATTTTTTTTATCGAGAGCATAATAATGATAAACATTTTCATATTCAATAAATCTCCAATTTCGACGTGCTGAAATTTTCTCAGTCCAATGATATTACTTTGAACTGCATAGCTCTGCTGACTCAATAGCTGAAATTGTGTTTTTTAAGAAAACATTTGTTTGTCATATTTATGCTGTATTTTCCAAATAGAAAATAGAGTTTGTGTAGTTCTGCTATTTAAGGAGAGACCTTAAATTGGTCTGCTAGATAGATTCATTGTAAGTACAGCACTGTAAAAAGGAGATTGATACAATTATTTCAAAGATGTTTTTATATTGTATTTCATCCAAGAACTTAGAAGCCAGTTTCAGCTTTTGAGTTCAACTGCCAATGAAACGTTCAATTTTATAACCTCTGACTACAGCCTGTGACAACCGCAGTTGTATTCAGCAAAACAACAGCACAGTCTGAGGCTCTTGCTGGCAATTCACCAGTGGTCAGAAGGCAAGGAAAGCCATGTGAAAGGCTCAGATGACAAAAGAAGTGGCTAAACGCATACAGAGAAACAGATACAGTCTGTTACACAGATAAAGTGTATTTCTTGCTACTATCCAGGTTATTCAGGTTAGCAAAAGTAAGCATGCCACTATGATGACAAATGCATTTGCTTCAGACCACTTAAGAAAACAGTCAAGTACATGGGTTTAAAAAACACAAGACCTGGGCTTTCCATTTCCTATTATTACTAACTAACTTCCTTCCATCGTAACAAATGCTGAACAAGCTCAATTTAAGAATTCCAGTTAGCAAGGATATGACTAATGTAGTCCTGAAACAGCCAGAGGCTAGGGCAATTTGACACTTGAAAAGTTGGGAAGATAAGGACCTGCAGGTTTCGGTTTGGTGGCTTTTTTTTTTTAATGTTTCCCTTCACAGGATTATCTTTATTCTGGCTGGTTTTGTGAAGTGTGTCACCTCCCTGCAGAGGCTTTATTGCCATCTAGGCCTTTGTGAGCATTGCACATTGTCCATAGCAGGTACAAATACGCAAGGGTATGACACAGAGGTGTTCTCGGCCTTCCTTTGGGCTGTGTGGTTGGGGAGCTCTTGGTGGTTTTTCCTACATAAAATTCTTTGCTTGTTCAACACACAAGATGGAAGAGGAGCAGGGGAGATGGTTATCTGGAGGATCCTTGCCTCTGTTCTCGTGGAGTGTGCAAGATGTACAATGATCGAAGCAGAGGGTTGCAGGGAAAGGAAGTTTGGTCCAGGCGGTGACACAGCAGGAGGAGCACTGGCCCTGGCCAGCAGGATTGTGAGGAGAGTTGACAAAACTTGGGTGCTGGCATGACTTTTCTCTCCCATGCACATACTTCCACAGACACATGTGTGCACCCACAGCCCTGAGGTTCTTCTCCCTCCTGTTAAGAGTGTCCTGGCATGTATGCGCACGGATTATATGGTGATGAACATCCTTGGAAACCCCATGATGAAACTATTAACTGTCTTCATGACAGGCCTGGAAGGTGTGCAGCAATGAACGCCTAGGGCTACTACTGAACAAGTAATAAAAAGCTGGCCCCTGTTGTCCATCCTTCTGGGCTTCTCTGGAACAAGACCAGACATCGTGACTGCATGACTGTACCACAGTGCACATTAAGGAGGGAGGGTAGCAAGACGGGGTTGGATGGGCGGCCTCAACTTTACCCTTTCCTCAACTGAGTATCTTGGTTTTGCAACGTTAAACTGGGAGTTGTTGAGATGGTCCTTCAGATGCACACCAAAACTGTGCAGCTGACGTTTTAAATTCAAAGTCAATTATTTTATAAGAATGAAAAAATCTACCTTGCCTGGGACAGTGCCAGTCACCTCTAGGTTCTTCGGTGCTCCTTACAAGGAATGTCACATGTTACACATACCCGTATGAATGAATCATAGAATCAGAGAATCATTAAGTTGGAACAGACCTCTAAGATCATCAAGTCCAACCGTAACCCAACACCACTGTGCCCACTAAACCATGTCCCGGAGTGCCACATCTACACGTTTTTTGAACACCTCCAGGGATGGTGACTCCACTACTTCCCTGGGCAGCCTGTTCCAATGTTTGACCGTCTTTCAGTGAAGAAATTTTTCCCAATGTCCAATCTAAACCTCCCCTGGCACAACTTGAGGCCATTTTCTCTTGTCCTGTCGCTTGTTCCTTGGGAGAAGAGACCAGCCCCCACCTCTCTACATCCTCCTCTCAGGCAGCTGTAGAGAGCGATAAGGTCTCCCCTCAGCCTCCTCTTCTCCAGGCTAAACAGGCCCAGTTCCCTCAGCCGCTCCTCATAAGACCTGTTCTCCAGACCCCTCACCAGCTTTGTTGCCCTTCTCTGGACACGCTCCAGCACCTCAATGTCTGTCTTGTACTGAGAGGCCCAAAACTGCACACAGTATTCGAGGTGCAGCCTCACCAGTGAAAGATGGTAATCATTCACAAATTACTGTTAACCTTGACCCAGGCTTTCTAGACTGCACAGCCTGGTGGTTTGCACTGCAGAAAGCACAAGATTTAGCATATAAGTCACTCAGCTTTTCTACAAACCAATCACCAGTTCCCCCTTCTATACCTCAGTTCCTTTAACTGCCCCCCTCCAACCCATGCATCCGTACCCCCTACTGAGTAAGCAGCATCAGTCTAGAGCTCAGATCTAGTTGACTCATGATTGTGATCTCATGATCTCATGACGTGATCCGATGATCGCTGTGTGCTTGACGTGGTTTCCAAATGTTACAGTTGTACAATGTTTTGAGATTTGGTGCTGGTATATGGTAGCGAGGCACCTGCCAGCCTGCAGGTGCTGGCTGTGAGATATGCTTGCTTTCTTTGAACGGGTTAGGAAAATACGAGAGCAGGTGGTTTGTGGATTTTGTTATTTGTCTGAATTTTGTATTAAATTTTAATACAGAAATTAGGGAAATGAAATGAGGATGTAAGTGCTGATGTAACAAATGTGTGGCCAGATGCCAGACTGTGCCTTGGGTGCTCAGAATCAGTAAAGTGATAGGAGAACTGCAAGTGACGGAAAGGAAGCAGTTACAGCTAGGAAGAGGAACTGGTGAGTGAGCTGTGTGCCTTAGCTGCCTGCTTTCTTCCTTTTTATGGCTAGCACCAGTGGGATGTACAGGCTGTTGTCCTTAGCTCAACATTAAGAAGCTTTTGTTTGGATGCTTCCCAAAGCTTTTCCAAGCCTAGTCTACAC